ATTGCGATTGATAAAGCGAAATGAAGAAAAATTAATTCTAACAACAGTTATCATAGTAGCCATAATGATTATAACAATAATAACTCGTGAAATCCACCACCACCAAGGGGAAAATATGATGGTGAAAAGTCAAATTTTTCGAACAAAAATTTTTCTCCGCATAATAGCGGACAAACTGGCGAGTGAAAACCTTTTTCTACTGAGGGTGATAAAATACAACAATTAGAGGCTGAAATTAAATATAATAGAGATTATATGTTGAGAACTCCCCATGAAGATGAGAAACAAAAATGTCGCAAAATAATTGAGCGATTAGAGAAAGAATTGAGGGGGTTGAGAGGTCAACAAAATACTCCTTCACCTAATTATAGTAGTTCGAGTAATAGCGGTTCAAAGAGCGGCAGTGGTAATTACCCAAATACTCCGAATTTTAACACTAATAATAACGAGGATAAAGAAAAAAATAAAAAAATTAGTCAATTAGAGGAGGAAATTGAGCAGTTGAAAAACAACAAGCCACAGAGTTCGCAAAAACAACTTGAAAATCAGAGAAAAATTACTGAAAAAGAGCAAGAATTATCTGAATTGAGAAAAAATGACGAGGATAATGACCTAAATGAACAACTAATCAATGAATTAATCAATGAAATAGAGAGACTGAAAGGTGAGAATAAAGGCCTAAAAAATGAAAAAGGCAGGTTAGTAGAAAAAGTTAGTCGGTTAGAAAAAATAGTTCAACGATTAGAAAGAGAAATTGAGGAATTAAAGGCTGAAATTCAAGAACTTAAAAATAAAGAAAATCGTTCTGAATATGAAAATTATTATTTAAGTAGACAGGAAAGTAGATTAAATAGTAGTGAATCAAAATTAGAGCAGTTAAGAAGCCTTATTAGCAGTAGTAATGTTGGCCGAGAAAGTAATAGTAATGATTTCCCAACTGGTTGAGTGGTTGGTGGGGGAATAATAGGAGTAGTATTGATAGCGGCGGTGTTGATTGTAAAAAGGAAAAGAAAAAAACATATAAAAAGATAGAATTGTTAAAAGTTTATGGTAAATTGAAATAGTTTTGATATAAAAGTTAAGGCAATTATATATAATTTTACACTAACTATTCCCCTCCTCCTTTTTCTCCTTTTCGTTTTTAGGCGGAGGAGTTTTTAACAAAGCCTCTACCATCTTATCAAAATCTTTTTTTTCTGACTTTTCTTATTTTTTCTACTTTTTTTTTCATGAGTCAAATTTAATTCTATATATACTAAATTTTGTAAAAAATTAGTATTATGTCAAAGTTAACTGAAGCTGACATCCGCATGGAAATAGATGAGGAATTAAAGAGTAAAGGA